AAAAAAAAAAAAAAAAAAAAAAAAAAAAAGGAAATATATATGAAGGGATAATTAATTAATGAATAATTAGTTATTAAAATAAACACATTTAATTATTAATTGTAGTTTAATAAAACTAAATGCACGAGAAAAAAGAGCAGCATGCAAGCAACAGAACAAGTCAAGGAATCAGCGATCATCTTAACACTAAACAGAAAGAGGTGCCTATACACCCCAACACATCAACTACAAACCCCGCAATAAATTGCGTATACACCTCAACAATCAAACTGGAAACACATATATAAATTGAATAACGATGAAGGAAACAAAGTTGGCAAGAACATATTGCATGCAATAATAACACCGGGCGCCACCGACTATAATGGAGGGTAACACGGCACTCTGCAACTAGGGGAGAAAAACAGCAAGGTATAATAATTAACTAATAATACAGCAGCAAGGGAGGAAGCAGCAGCTGCAGCAGCAGCAGCAGCACAGATGAGGTAGCAGGAAATCTCACGTAGTGTGTCCCGATGTGCTTGAGGATCAGCGTCTTCCCCGTGGGACCAACTGCTGCTCCTGCTCCTGCTGCCGCTGCTTGTGCAGCTGCTGCTTCTGCTGCCGCTGCTTCTGCTGCTGCTGCTTCGGCTGCTGCCGCATCATCCGCCCCTACAGCAGCTTCTGCTGGGAGTGGGACTGCTGCCGTTGGCACAGTTGCTGTTGGTGCTGCTGCTGTTTCTGCAGGAGCTGCAGCAGCAACAGGGGTCACTGTTGCTGCAGGTAATTCAGGCGCCAGTCTTGGCATGCGCACATCTGTTGCAGTTAAGACAGTAGGCTGACGCCAAGCTTCAGCAGGAGCAGCTGACTCTGCTGCTGGTGCTGCTGCTGGTGCTGCTACTGGTACTGCTGCTGCTGCTTCTACTGGTGCTGTTGCTGCTGCTGCCGGCGCTGCTGCTGCTGGTGCTGCTGCTGGTGCTGCTGCTGGTACTGCTGCTGGTACTGCTGCTGGTACTGCTGCCGGTGCTGGGGGAGGTGGTGGAGGGGGTGGCGCCAAGTCTTGTGCTGGAGATACTGGCATTTGCAGCGGTCCTTGTGTTACTGGTGCTGCTTCTGCTGCTGGTTGGGCTGCTGCTGCATTTCCAGCAGCAGCGGCGGGCACAGCAGACAGCGGCGAAGCAGCAGCATCTACTGGAGCTGCTGGTGCTGCTGCTGTGTTTGCAGGTGGCACTTGGGTCGCTGCTGCTGCTGCTGCTGCTGGATCTTGTGCACCTGCTGCTGCTACAGGCAAACCTGCAGCATCAGCAGGTCCTTCCTGCTGGTTAACGTGCAAGAAGTTCTGAGCGGAAATCGCGTTGCTGCTGAGTCCATTCGATGGTTGCTGCTGCTGCAGCTGCCCCAGCTGCTGCTGGTGCTCCTGAAAGTTTGGGTCATGCGAGTGTTGGCCAATGGTCTGCATGCGGTTGCCCAAAGGCAACGGGTCATTCGCTGCGCCCCCAAGCTTTGTTGGGGGCCATGTTGCAGCTGCTGCTGCATCCACCGCTGCAGCAGCAGCACTGACGGACGCCAGAAGCGCCAGGAGGAGAGAGGAGGCAGCAAACCGCTGCCTGAGGGTCTCCCACATTCGCGTGTGTATAGAAGAGAGCACGCTGTGATTGCTGAAAAGCTGCTGCTAACACTGCAGCGACAGTTTCTGGCTGCTGCTGCTGCTTCGCGCCCCTTCCTTAGCTGCGCTCTTAAGGAAGGGCTAGCTTGCTGCTTCTTTCAAATTCCTCTTGCCTGTGTTGGTGCACAACTCCTTGATGAACACATTAAGAGCGGAGAAGGCCGCAGCAGTTCCTCCACGACCTCATGGCTGGCGGGGCGGGGGCTGCCGAGGCTGCAACTTGCTACTGATGAGCAAGTAAAATATCATAGGGAGGTCAAGTGCATTAAAAGAATGCTGTGAAATAAATAGGGGAGCGAGGAAACGAAGAAGGCAACAGAAGGAGGCCGAACGAGAACCACCGCAACGAAGGACGGTTAGTACATACAGCTGGCCAAACCAGCATGCGCGAGCAGAAACGGGAGTTTAAAAAGGGTTTTACGCCCCTATATGGAATAAAACTACAAAAGAAGAGGAGATAAAGCGAAAACAGAGGAATGAGAGGAAAACAACACAAGATTCCCACAAGTTGCTGATGGGAACGCCAGCTAGTGGATCGAGGCACGTCTCGGCAGTTTACGTGTGCCGGAAACCTCCATGTAAAAGTATTTCTCCTCTTTAATTTCCCTTTTTCATGTTAATTATGTTTAAAAACAACGGGGAAATGACTGTATTTAACTCCTACACCAAAGGCAGACAAACCTCATGCCGCTGTACGGCGCCGCCGCTTCAGCCGCTGACCATCGGCCTTCGATATTTTTCATGGGCTGTCGATACACCAAAAAATTGGAAGCTGAATTCGCATTGATAAATGCCCAATAAGTATGGATTTTTTATTCGATATAAGGGTAATAGCAGCCCAGAAACCGGAGGTGGCCTCCCGCCGCAAAACAGCTACATCCAACAAGGCGTTGCACTCGATAGACACCTGAAACTGCTACGTAAAACCCGTCATTATCTACTGCCTGCGTCTGCTTTTCCATGAATATGATAGTCCCAGATGCTTGCGCGGCACACAGAAGCCCCGGGGGGGCTGCTGCCCATAACACTCGCCGCTGCAGTTTCGTTATTTCTATATGTCGCTGCCCGCTGCAGTCGACATTCCACGAAACTCCGCTTCTGTAATGTGCTTGACAAAGATATATGGCAGGCTACTCCTGTATTACGCTGAAGCTTCGTAGTTCCAACGGACAATGTGCATATATATGTGTGCATGTGAGTGTGGGTTTGCCGGCGCGAATGCAAATGGACATTTTTAATAATCGGTCCCTTCATCTGCTTGTTCTCCTTTAGAGCCGATTAGTTACTGCCTGGGTTATTTCTCGTCCTTGCCGCTGACTGACACTTAGGAGCTTAACTTAAACGGATTCAGTTCCGTCCCCTTTCATCTGTTCGCAATGAACAAACTGGGCTCCAGATGCGTCTGTCAGTGGGTTTGGATTATTTGCTTATTCTTGTTTATCTAGTTGGCTTTGGGGGGAGACCTTAGGCAAGGCAAGCGTCACAACGTTTAGGGACTCTAAGGGGCCTGTATATGAACTGCAGGCAACCATCTCTCTTGTTCTACTGCTCACCTTGATGGTTAAAAAGGAAGTAATCTTTTGTACCGACTACTGTTTAACTTTAGAAAAAGAAAAATTGTAGTCGGATGGTTTAGTCATCCAAACCAACTGCAAAAGCTACCTAGCTAGTCAGTTGTCAGGAAGCCTCCCTGAGATTTGGCATGCCCAAGAGTCGTTGCGGCTTTGCTCTGTGCTATTGAAGAACCCAAGAGCAATGTAAATCAGAATGGTGCAGGCAACTAACAATACAACAGGTACTGCTAGTCGTAATACAAGGGAAGGCGTGCCTTCTGAACTGCCTCCCTTTCTCAAGTTTCTTGCTGCCTTGCTGGCTTGTTGTCTCTTTGGAATTGGTAGCTCCAAAAAGACAGCATCAATAAAACGGGACACAGGAAAGAGCCAGATGGTTGCTGGTGCTTTAAAGGATCGGGAATACGTGTCTTGTCGCATGGAGGTGGCACAGGTTGGCTTTTGAATATGCAACGTCGATATCAGCACAGTTACGCATGCATCACACATATAACCACCTCATTCTTTTTAAAGTTATTTCTGCGTTGAAGCCAATATTAACGTGCATAGGACGTCCCACAATTCTTCTGTTATATGGCAGTGGAGAGGTTGAAGAACTGCAAAGAAGAAGAACGAATGAGGGGTATGGTTTGTTAATGCTGGTGGTGGGGATCTACTAGATGGTGATTTCTGAAGCAGGCAAGCTTAGCCCTCTAAAGCAGCATCGAATACAGCAATCGGAGAGGTATTAAGCCACACAATCGATGTACCACACAGGGGGACACCAGAGGGATTGAAACAGAGGCCTACATGAATATTTCAGGGAAGTTTGATTGAGACCCCTGCATTCCGAACCATATCGTGTATCCAGATGGAGGCACAGAGAATATGATGGGTAGTTTCAGATTAGAAAGCTAAATGGAGGCAACTTCAGAATCGTGTAGCCTGGACTTTGCTCGCGCGGTCAGTTGAAAGTCTAAAGAAACAGCGACCAATGATCCCAGATGAATTGGAAGGAAAGCGCATGATCGAAATTAATCCTGTTTGGAGTGTATTGAAATAGTGGAAGAAAGCGGCTGTCCCCTGTATCTGTAATTATCTGGAAGCTCTCAGTGATAGTTCGCGCCAAGCTGAAATCACTAGCATGCCGATAAAGCCCACCATATTTTCCCCTTATCCTCCTAGTATTGGAGTTAATATTTGTTACAAGAAAATTGAGTACCACGTTCGTAAGCGTAATATGCTAATTCAAGCAGAAATCCGGTGGTCACCCTACTAGTGGCACCATCGACCGCTAGTGGCCGAGGCAGCCGTGCACTGCAACCGACCCCTGACTAGTATTACCTTGCTGTTTTTGTTTTAATTTTTCCTCAGTCTTCAAGAAACCAGGAAGAGAACCATGGCCATGCCGCGTCGGAGAGTACCGCGCGCCACACGCAGCCTCACGGCAGTAGGCCAGATAGGCTTTCAATCGTTTTTCGCCTTTCCTGCCTTTCATTAAATTCACATCATCTCCCTTTACAACCACTAACGTCCTTTTTGAGTTTTGTACCAGGTACTTCAATTCTTTCCCCCCCCCACCGCCCAAAGGTGACCCTGCTGCCTTATATCGACAAGAGTGTGTCGTTGTGAGCACATTCCACCCCCCCCACTATTGCCTTACACCCAACTTCCCCCATCCACCATCTCAATATCTTCCCATTTACTAGCAAGCTTTCAAGCAAAGCCCAAAGGGCTCCTCGCAAGACGTGCGCTGGTCTAACCACAGCAGACTGAATGCAGGAGTGGGGCCTCAGCAGCAATGTCGGGCCTAAATACCAAGATGGCCTCTAGTTGCACTGCTCCTCTACAGAGAACTGCTCCAACCCACTCCAGTTCGAGTCTTTCTACGGGGCTACCAGCGTCTGATCCAGGGGGAGCCGCAGGCACACTCGAAGACTCCCCGTTGCAGCCTGCTAACCATCCTTTTACTTTTCCACATGCAGCCCCGCAAGGGGCCCGTGGCCCGGCAGAAGAGCACAATATGGACAAAGAAGCAGGCAGTGCGTGCATGTTAAAGGGGAATAGAGAGCCCCATGGTGCTGCTCAGGAGGATCACCGAGAAAATTTAGATGCACAGAGCTTCGCTTCCTTTGTTGTTACGGAGTGTCCTGCTTTGGAGCCGACGGAAGCTTCTCAACAACTGAGGAAACCCCCTGTGCTTCGCTCTGGTTTCTTCAAGCATGCTGCACAGTTTTCGTCAGCAGCAGATCGTGTGATGGTGCTCCTCTGGCGCGCCTTCACGTTCAGGCTCAGGTATCCATTCATGACTCTCATAGGCCTTCTTGCTCCAGGTGAGACAACTCTGGATTACCCCGTTTCGGACACAAATACATAAAGCATGATGAAATAACCCATGCACAACCGGCCATTGCCTCCCTCTGCTGCACGTGGGTTTTCCTCTCCAGGAGTTTAGCAGGGCTGAATAATTTTGCTTATATTCTCTGAGGGTCCTTGCTGTTCAGTTGCTCTCGTCGCATCCGCATGCATCATTCTTGCTCACTACCAGAACGTGGAGGTAAGCAGCATGGCCAGGAATAACGATGAATTTTGGAGAAACAACAGATAAGCCTGCAGTTGAAGAGTTAGAGGGTAGCGATCTCTGTTTAAGGCATGGATGACTGCATGAATGTGGCTTTTCGTCTGCGTATGTTTCTTTATGATGCCTGCGGGTGTGGGTTGGGTGATTGCTGTTGAATCAAGCTGCAAAAGGGTCCCGAAGGCGCTTGTGTCTGCTTCCCCTGTGCTTCCAGCTCAACTACGTACCAACCAATATGTCGCGCGGCCCAAATATGTCGTGCAACTTCGCTTCCTATATGAACAGAGTCAGCAAAATGGCACAAGACAGCAGTGAGTCCAATTAGTACTGTTTTCCGTAAAACTAAGAATCACCTTCTTTGGAGCTATTCACAGGCTCTTAGCATGCAGCTCAGAATACGAGAATAGCAACACTAATCTGAAGAAATGTGGAGGCAACGTCTTGCACTGTACTGTACCTGGTGCACCGGCTAGAAGCCAGGAGGTTAATTAGCCTCTGTTCTCACGTATTGAGGTTGCGGGCGTACGCAGATCTGTGCACTCCTCCATCGAGTCTGATGGCTTCCTTTGGTCGCCGGTATGACGGTCTGCATTTAATGTATTTGCCGCTTGTGCTTCACTACGGCGGCCTTCTGGCTTTCGTAGACAAGGGGGGCACTGACTGCCAACAGCTCCGCCTCTTCATGGAAAAGTTCGCCCAGACGGTGTCCCCTTGTAAGCAGAAAACATTAGACATTGCTGTATGATATCCCTTTTCTGTTTCTGCTCCTCTCCATGATTGCTTTTGTCACCACATATGTTTTATCTTCATACGCAAGCAATACCTGCAGACCCTGAGCCTATCTAGGACGAAGCTGCTGATATTGTTCCTCGAACAGAGGGTAGGATTGTACAACCTAGTCCATATAGTATTTCTTCGCTAGTACACTGGGATGAATCTTCTGCTATTTTCTGCGAGCTGCTTGTCAGACCTAATGAAGCATACAACGGAGAATAATCTGTTCAAAACGTTCCCTTCGGAGAAGGCACTGGACAAGTATCGACGAGCCGCTGCAGCTCAAAAAGAACGACCCATTCACTCGGCCTTCGTCTGCAGAGCCACAGAGCGAGGCCAACTGGATGTCACAATACGCATGCACGTGCGCAGGGGAACGGTGAGAACGAACGGCACCAGATGCAGATTCACACGAATTCCATTTATTTCCTGATGACAGCCAAATAGTTTAGCACAGCGATGCACCAAAGGGCCGCAGCATGCTTTCTGTGCTGATTCATTGTTGTTTCATGTTTTTGTGCTCTCCCCCTGTTAATGTGTGTAAATTTGCATAAATTTATTAGGGTTCTGTGTGTCTAAGGGAGAAGGGATAGGCATAACGAATGCAAGTGGGCTTTGTGTGCTGTGCGGTGTGCTGATGTGCTTAGCCTCGTTCGTTTGTCAACGACGCTGTGAAGTTTCTGCGGAGACACTATACGAGTTATAACTCCACAACGTACTTTGGAGGGGCCAGTTTCCTCTTGGAGGCCGACGTGATTGGAACTCCCAACGAAGGGAAGCCCTATGGCCACCTGACAGGCGGTTTCCTGGACCTCATAACTCTTGTTCATGTTTTCAACCTGGATCGGTCCAAAGTCCGCGAGCTCCCTTCAGGCTCTCCAGGTAGGCAGAGGAGATACATGTAGCTGCACGAGTTATAGCAGCTGGTTGACTTCGCTGTTTTGAGTATTGCAACTGTAAAATAGCATGCAAAAATCAGAAAAGGCATAGGCAGCAGGATAGGCAAAAGTTGAGTGCTTCCCCTCTTTTGCACGCCACAACTGCCTAATAAAATACAACCGAAACAACAACGGGGGAGGCACTAGGGCCTTTTGTCTCTGCGCCTTGTAATGCAGTGTCGCAGGAATTCCAACCGCAGTGGGAGCGGATATCCGAAGCATTCTTCAAGATGTTTGATTACTTCGGAAGACTGCCTGTGCTGGACAGCATCGGTGAGGACAGAAAATATCCCGAGGGGAACAGATATTGTCGGAGCAGAGCTCAAGACACCCAGTCATGTAGTTGACTGTGGACCTGCAGGCGACGACCACACCATCTACACAGAATAACTCCAAATGCCACATCTCTGAACCACAATGGCTTTGTGTTACACTTGCAAAGACTGCAGAAAGCACCTACAAAAGCTGTAGCCGATACCCACAATAACTACAGTGAACAATTACAATAGCTACAGAATGCAACTACACCAAGTTCAAGCAGCAGGGAGAATGAGCCTGGAGGAAATGCGGGGAATACACGGCCCGCCTGACTGACCACCATGTAGATTGCTGAATAAGGCCTGCAGCTAGACATGTTCTTCTGTGTTAATAATTCGTTGTCTTTTCTTGGACTGTGCGAACCTGCGTAGCATTTTCGACGAATCGCAAGACACTACTCAAGTCGTTTGTCGAGGAATCCGAGCGAAACTTAGCAGAAATGTTGACACTTGTTTTTTGCATTTCAGCTGCAAATGAACCAGCGTCCCCCAAGGGTGATTCCATATGATATAGTTTCTACTTCACCTAGCTTCCTCGCTTGTAAAGGGCACCACCACTCAGCATCAAGAGACACGCGTGTGGTCCTACAAGCCTCCGTAGGTATGAGCAGCTGGAATGGAATGAATTGCTTTGTTTTTGGTCTTACTGTATGTTCCTCCGAAGGTATATCACAAATGTACCGCCATTTGCTGCCTGCGTGGGTGTTGGGCCCTGGGTACGGCGTAGTCCGTCTATTCACCATGCGAGCAGCAGCAGCAGGATGTGACCCTTCGACACCTTCTATGCAAGTACTAGAGAGAGTACGTCTTTTGCCTTCTCGTTGCAAGGTGCAATAAGAGAGCGGTTCCAAGCAGAGCCCCACCGCATCTCAAGCCAATCACGATTACGTAAAGGCTTATTTCCAAGTCAAGGACTGCAAAAGTTGACATGTGTGTTGTTTCGTGGGCTGGTTTGCAGCTGTTTTACTCCCGCACCCATAGGATGGGAATTGGATTAATTGTGGCAGCGGTCGGGCCACTCCAGAGCATCCTAAGAAATGTCAGTACCCCTGTGCGGAGGGCATACAGTCCACTCAACTTTCTGTGAGCCTTTTCAGCTCCTTTCTAGTGCTAAAACGCATTAAATGAGCATAGGATGCAGGCGTACAAACTAAGTACTCGGCAGATGAAAGCAACGTCTGACCTTTTACCCATATACCTTTCAGAATGATTTCGGCACTTGACCATCCGCAGAGTCTGTGGCAAGGTGGCATGTGACAAACGTTAACTACTTTATGAATGCCTTGCGTGCATGTTTGTTCTTAGAGAGTCAGCAATGCCTTTCGTCCCTGCCACGGTGATATCTCGTTCTGGGAAACCTCACTCGTGTGCTGCACCTTTCGTCGTCTTGTTCGTCTGCATTCTTTGGCAAGTAGTGAAGGCAATTATGGTCGACAAGGAAACGGGATTCAAAGTGGGTAGCACCTGCTACATCATTGCCTATGTGCCATGCACCTTCATATCAGATCCCTTTGCAAACGCTGAATCCGTTGAACTGCCTCTCTACCCTGACTGTAGCTATTGTTGAGAAAGAGTCGGCTGCGACCGTCATTGTCTCAAAATGGGGAGTGAGGCCCTGTGTTATTTTCGTGCTGCAGAACATGCTCAAGATTTTGGGAATATCTGATAGAGTGCTGTGGACTTCGTGGTATCTGTTCTTTACTCTCTACAACTTGCCCACGCTAATAGCGGTGGCTTTCATTTCTCATTATTATGCCTTCACGTTGAGCGATATATGGTTTGTCATCTTGCTATTTCTGCTTGCTCTGACCGCCTCTATTTCTTTTGCCTTATTCGTCACCGCATTGTTTACCGACGGAAATCTTGCAGGTAAGCTGTTAACGATGGCGCTGTCTTGCTTGTTGCTTTTCTACGAAAGCTGGCGGAGCACTACGCTTGCCCCCTTCCTCGTAACTAATCTGTCCTCCTGCTTACTGCTCTAACATATTACCCAAACCTATGATGTGTCCGTGATGTGTGGCCGCCTGTGCTGCCTGTGCCCTATGTGAGCAGCAATGGCAGCGTGTGCTTGGTATGTCCTAATATGGGTGCCCGTTGTCTGCCAAAGATTTGGCAGTGCAGCATGGAACCCGCTGTTGCAGCAGCTCTTCATGGTTGTCTGCCCTGCAGCTGCTCTCGGAGTGGTAAGTCACAATACACGTTCATTTCTGGCACATGTTGCATTGCTTGATGGTTCAGCGCAGACGCCTCACCTCTGTCGGGCAGAGAGAAATCCAGTTCAGGCCTCCTTTCTCTTCACTTTCCCTGTGTTTCGCATGATCAGGGGATCGACATTGCCTGGATCTTCAATGAGCCATACATTGGTGGCATTCGCCGGAGTACAGTCCAGTAAGACGTTCATTCGTCAGTTCGTGGGCTTCGGTCTACCACAAGTTTGACGCCGTGTGATATTCCCTTGGAGGCAGCTGTCTCTGTTTGTGTTCGTTCGCAGTACCTCTTCTCTCGGTATCACACTGGCGGATACGTACATTACTTTGAGTATAAGTACAGTTGTCTTCGCATGCCTTGGCGCCTACCTTCACAAGATCCAGCCAAGTACGTGTGGCGAACTTATGCAGCCGAGGCAGTTATGCGTTTCCGCCTACCCACCCCTTTACACTTTAGACCTAAGAGCAACGGCAAACCGCGAATGCTGCAGCTTTTTTATTTCAGTGCCCTGATTACCCGGTGTAGAACACTTCGTGTGTTACGCGTTGTTGTTATGCGTTTCTGTCTTGTTCTTTCTTAGCTTCCAGTGGAAGCCCCAAGCATCCGCTTTTCTTCGTGTCCCCCGTCATCAGTTGCATGCGCAAGTCTTGCCTCCTGTGTTGCCTAAGACGACCTCCAAAGGATCGGCAAGAACTCCAAGAGATCGCAGAGGGGCCCTTCTGCAAACTCAGCAGGGGCAGTGAAGACGACGGCAAGGTGGGTTTTATATTCTCACGAGCCTGTGTGATTTCCCAAAACGCACTTTATCTGTTGATAGCGACGATCTAGGTCCCCAGTATCAGGAGCACCCACGACCTCTGTGAACGCAACAGTGATTTGGGCTAACAAACTCTAACCAGTTCCTCATGTGATGCCGTCTGTTTCTGCAGCCCCTTCTGGAGGTGTGCGGAGTACACAAGAACTTCCGCACATGGAAAACGAAAAAGTGCTCTAGAGGCTCCGTTAAGGCTGTCAGAGGGGTTTCGTTTTCTGTGTATCGTGACGAGATATTTGGGCTTCTCGGCCAGAACGGGGCGGGAAAGTCAACTTTGATTTCTGTCATCACGGGATCGCTCGCTGCAACCAGCGGGGATGTCCTAATTGGCGGCGTATCTGTTAGGCAGCATCCATCCCATGCACGATGCAACATTGGGTGAGGCGGTTGGGCTTTCAGTGCACTGACGGGCATACACACTATTTAGCAGGAGGTTCTGCACGCGCGGCTGCCAGCAGGTCGGGAATTATATAGCTATCAAGAGTCGAGTGGCTGCCTTGCTCTCAGATACTGCCCTCAATTCGACGTTTTGCTTCCCTACTTAACCATTGAAGAGACTCTCTGGCTCTACGCAGCCCTCCGTGGTATTCCGAGGGGACGAAGGAGAGAAGAGGTTGCGGAACTCATGAGCATGGTCGGGCATTCGTCGAAATACAAACAAATAGACAGTCTTAACCCCTCTCGCGAATCAAACAAGCAACGTAATGCCACGGGGCAGCTCCAATGAACGCTTGTGTTATTTCCTGTGGCAGCCGAGTGTAATGGAGGTAGTTCAAACAATCCATGTGGTTCACTTCGATACTGTAGATGGGTCCTCCGATTGCATTCCTGCTGCGAAATTTCAGATGCAGCTATCGGAAATGGCCAAGGTCCAAGTGGCAGCTCTTAGTGGCGGCTGGAGAAGGCGCGTGAGCAGCTCTGTTGCTTTTCTCGGAGATCCAACAATTGTCTTTCTTGACGAACCGACCGCTGGCAAGGCACACGCAGCATTTTGTTGGTTCTTGTGCTCTCTAGATCATCTATATAAGCTTACTCTTATTCAAACACTCGGATTGCATACGGCTAGGGTAGTTTACTTGAGCACTTCATCTGAGGAAAAGTGATGGATATCTGCCAAACGTTATGAACACCCTTGCATCCCTCTGCATGTACGCATGTGCTCGGCGGTTGATCATGCCCTTCATCTTCAGGTATGGATATTCTGTATCGCCGAACCTTTTGGGACTCCGTCCGCGTCTTGAGCAGAGGACGGTGCATCGTCTTGATTACGCACATGATGGAAGAAGCTGACTATTTGTGTGACCGCCTTGCTATCATGGTTGACGGCGTTATCGCATCTGAGGGAACAGCACTGACACTCAAGTCAAGGTAGGAAAGCATTCAGCAGCTCATATACGGATGAATATTCATTTCAGGCCAAGCAGATGAGGTGGCGTCCCTTTTGTTAGCTGTCGCTATGAGTGATATCCCGGCATTGAAGATTGGAATTCGTTTGTCCGTTTTAATGCGTCTGGTAAACATGACTGTGCAGGTTCGGCAGCGGCTATATTATTTCCGTTGTATTCCTGAAACAGGCAAAACGAGAGGAGCAGCAAGCACAAAAGAAACTGCGGCGGCTGCTTCAAACATTCGAATATCCGCCCACAATCACGGAAGTCTCCAGGCACGAACTGCGAATTGTTTGCCCATTTTGTCACTCTTTCCAGTTACCCCGGTGGGTACACTCACAGCGAATTAACCAGGAGCTCTACGCACGCAGTGTATGAGGGTAGATTAACGCAAACCATCAAAGACGGCATATGTTGTACAAATGAGAGCTCCCTCAAGGTCATAAACCGTTGGGGATAACTGCTGCTGGTTTGTGTTAACACCTTGGACTGTTTGGTCCGCGTTGATGCGGGTTCTGTGTGGCTCAGTCTCTTTTCCGAGCTGGAAATTAACGCACACCACTACGGGGTCGAGAGCGCTGTTCTAGGGTTTGCTTCACTTGAAGAGGTCTTCCTAAATGTCGTTAAGCTTGCTGCTAGAGGCAGGGCTTTAGAGGCAACAAGAACAGATGGATCAAACAGCCACAGCAAGCCCTCCCAAGTTAGCAATGTCGCGCGAAGTGGAGCCTCTTCTAACTCATGTTCAAGTTCTGCAAATGGCCGCTGTTCGTCTCCTGCGTACAGGGTTTCTGCTCTTCCACATGAGTAAGCAATAGCATTTTAGCTCACATGAGTTGCGAATTGCAGATATGGGGGAACGGAAGAGCCAGCTTGGCTGCAAGTGCACATCGTCGTTGTGCCCACTCAAGTGCTATATGTTACAGTGTTACATATATATACATGCATATAAAGTATCGGCATGCCGTTCACTGCGGAGCTCCATACTCTGGATTGTTTCTGCAGACGCACAGCGGTTGCTCCTGCACAAAACACTCATGATGGACACGTTAATGGATCTCAACCTTTAAAAGTAGGAAGTATTGGAAAAGGATCCGAGCGTTGTGCAAGCACTACAGCCGGACGAGTTCACCCAACCGCTGCTTCCTTAGATGCTACTTCAGGTAGTACAACTACCACCTCCAATTGTTCTGTTGGTGGCTCCAGTTGGCTCGCATCCCACCAAAAACGGGGGCGCCCTAGACGAGGATTGCGGTGGCAGCTTGCTGTTGTTCGAGCACTGCTGGCCAAGCGGATTCGCCTTCTTTATCGGGGTGCGGTTTTGATTTACCCAATACGTGCTGCCCTTATCAACAGTTGTGCTGTGTTGCTGCTGCTTTCTCAACTTGTTACGCGCTATGTTGCTCCTTCGCATGGGCGTTGCAGACTGGGCGCTGGTAACTGTCTCCTTTTTCATTCCGCTTCTGCTAATGGGACTGACACTATACCTTCGGTCTGAGTGAGGCTATACTACTCATCAGTAGTCACGTACCTGACTTCCAAGTGTTCAGACTGTATGATGCACAAGTTCGACTTTCCATTGAGACCCTTTCGCTGTCATGCATGCATTTTGTGCCTCGTGCACTTCGGGCTTCGCTTTTTTGAGGTCGCTTTTTCCCAGGGTTGCCTGTTTTCTGCCTCTTCTCCCTTTTATAGGAAATCGGAGCCACGCGTGCCCCTGAATGGACAACAGTTATTCGAATACCGCCTCCCAAAAAGCATCCATTCGGAGGTGCCGTACGGAGGGAGTGGGTGGATGTTGGGAGCCCTTGATCGGTGTTATTCTGTGAGTGCTGCCTTCCAGCGTATTCTCTTGCTGGCCATCCCAGCGTTCCCTCATGCGTTAAGAGCAACGTACAAATTCAGAGTAGTTGAAAGAGGAAGGGCATGCACTACTTACACTTTGCATGTTCTCTACATTTTTATATGATGCGCTCATGCTGCTTCCCCTTTGCCATCGTAGCCCTATATGACTCACAATAACATCTCCAGTAATGTGAAGAACAACAACGATATGTACGAATTCCTCTTGAATGGCTACTTTGGTCCTCATTCTCCCCGCTTTGGCGCTTACGTGGCTCCCGAAGGCCAGGCCGATCTATCTGATGAAGCCGGCCAACTAGAAGGTGAGCTGAATCGAAAAGCAACACCACGATCAGCCTGCACTTATCCACCCATATGCGTCTATAAATAGACAGCCAAATATCGTGGGTAAAATGCTCTGTGCATGCGTGTTTGTGTTGAATCACTGCAGTTACCATATGGCATAATTCCACTTTCCGAGACTCCATACCTTTGCACTACAGCCATCTGCTCAACTGCCTGGCGCAAGACCGCACAGGAATCCCGAATGCCGTATTTCTCAGGTAGGGATCAAACAGATTATTGTTGAGCAGAGTTTCGCTGGTTCGTTTGTAAATACTCAGTCCCGTACCTTGGATAAAATTCTCTGTTTTGCTGCCCTGAGCTGAAGCCATGACATTTATATTTAAATGTGTAAGGGAGTGTTATATATTGATAACACACACTATACTGGAGAGTCTGGCTATTATGGAGTCAGCTTGCATTCTGCTCTACCTTCAGCAACCATCCATTTGAAGACACGGACGACAAGTCAATGGATGGCCTGGTGGTTGGCTTCTTCACAGTAATTGCATACTCCTTCGTGGCGGCTGGCGTGGGGAAAGTTTGCATAGTAGAGAGAGTGAGGAAAGTCCGGCACCAACAAATCCTTGCGCAGGTCACTCCGTTTCAGTACTGGATATCAAGCTACATCGTGGACATGGTCCTCCTCCTCCTCCCGTGCTCGATCATCTTCGGCATGATTCTTTGGGTTGATATTACACCTCTTGTAAGCTCGTGGTCTCATAATGATTTGTTGAGAGCCATCCCAAAGCGACGCAAGGGCCTTAGAAGACTGTTCTCCATCCCTGCACTTATTTTGCAAATATTTAGACTCACATATCCGACCGAAGTTTTGTTCACACTCTAGCTCTACATTAGATGCTTAATGTGGTTGAACCTTTTTTTGATAGCCGCGTTGTTGTCTTTGGATTGCTGCGAGTCCAGGTAGGGCCTCACCAACGCGGAGCCTTCCTCCTTGGCACAGTACTGTTTTGTTTCTCAGTTTGCCCCCTGGGCTATGCTATTTCGATGGGTCTTGACTCTCCAATGACTTTCGTTATTGTTATGCTGCTTCTGGGGTGGTCGCTCCCCTCAATTCAAGCTCTCTTTACAGAAGTCAGCGGACTGCAAGGCATGTACAGCCAATACCTGAGATACGTCTTTATGCTGCTTCCCCATGCTGCGTTTTGTGAGGTATGGAGAATACTTAAATTCCTCTCCTACAGTTGAAGGCCTTGGAGCGCAATTATTCAACATCAAACTTCGAACCAGACAGATTCTCTGTAGTCTTGCTGGACAGAAATGTCTCCTGTAGACTTCTCTGCCACGTTCCGGGTTTATCGCATTATTCGGAAAGGGCATAGCGGGTACGATCTGCTTTCTAACTAGCTGAAATGAGCGATTCTTCTGGGCATGCTTTTGTCGCAGCTATTGACTAACCTCGCAATGATGAACCAGCTAACTGGTGGCGACGTGAAGGCAAAGGAGTTGGTGAACTGGTTTGAGTTCCGAAAGACAGGATGTCCGTTGTTGTACTTGGGATTGACGATTTTGTTGAACTGGATGATTTGTATAGCCGTAGATTGGGCGATCAACTACCCCATGAGCAGAGCAAGAATGTTGACCTCTGTGCGCAGATTTGTGGTCTCTCTAGTAACGAGTGCAGCTCGTGTCCTTTGTGGCATTTGTTCCTCTTGTCTCTGCTGCCTGCCTGATCCCAAAAAACGTGACTCCACCACATTGAGAAGAGACCCTCCAGGCGCCTCCAGGAATTCAGGACTACGAACAATGAGGACAGATATTGACGCGGTTTTCTTCAGGAGAAGGAATGCAAGTAGAAGCTTGGGCCTTAATGTGCAGGTGAGCGAGTTATTTGCATTTTACATCGCAGACACCTTTGGTTGCCCTGGGGCTGCTCTTCATCAGATGAAGTTGAATCTGGCATGTACCTGCATACCCCATACCCGACGTTGGGATGGACACAGCAGCAGGCCATTGCTCCAATGTCCGTACTGTGACCTGGTTATTGGGCTACTAAGCTCGTTTATTCGAAATGCACGGCGTTATAAACCCAAGGACGTGAGCGTGCTATGACGTTCGCTCCATGAGCAAGAGGGGTTTTTGTGTGACCACTAACTTGTGTGGCGATGCAGGAGGAAGAAACTGAATCAGCTAGGGCAGTTCAGCAACTGCGACGTCGTGTCCGAAACGGCAAGTCAGGCCTGTTTCCAACTAGTCCCATAAGCATTGAAGACCCTGACAGAGGCGAGGAGGGAGCTAGAAACAACGAAGCGGACGGAGTTGAACTTCCACTGGTTGTGCACAGGCTCGAAAAGACATACCCTCCTCCCATACTGCAGCGATGCTTCTACTGCTTGTACCCGCTAAGTAGGAGCCGTATTCTCCCGTTCTGTTGCTGCTGCAAGCGGCCACAGCCCACGAAAGCGCTGAAAGGCGTTTCTTTCTGTGTGCCTCGAGGGAGTTGCTTTGCATATATTGGTGCGTAAGGGAATAGAGCTGCCACATCTACCGACTGCAGCAACCCCACCTCCCCGTTCATATATCTTTGTGCTGTCTAGCTACTCTTGAATCTTCTTGACCTAGAAAGGGTTTCATTCCTAGAAATCCAGGTTGCTAGACGTGGGGACGTTTTAGCATTTATGCATTTCTTACAATATGCGTCCCTGGCCGGTTCTTCTGCAGGTATAAATGGTTCTGGAAAGTCTACAACGTTCAACATTCTCGGCAGCTTAATGCCCCAGTCTGCGGGTTCTGTTTTCGTTGGCGGCTTCGATATCCTCCAGCAAACAAGAAAGGCACGGGCTAAGCTCCGTTACTGCCCACAGACAGGTACGGGTAAAGCATTGACACCCAACAGCTCGTCGTTTCACACCGACGGCTGCTTCAGTAGTCCACCCTCACCCGTGTGCTGTTGAGTGCAAAACCAGTGCATGGCAAACATTATCTGCGTCCTATTGCAGCGCGTAACACAAATAATGGCATGTACAATATTCATCTGATCCCCGTGGGACATCGTTTCGCTGACCATATTGAATGCCCTGTTTCTTTGATCTGGCCATGACTGCTGCCCGTGTTACTGCGCTTTCAGACGCGCTTTTGCCTACCTTAACGGGGGCAGAGCACGTCTACCTTTACGGATGTCTCTTGGGTTTGAGGCGCCACCAGCTACGTGATTTCTGCTCGGATTTCTTTGAAGTGATAGGGTGCAAGAACCATATGCATACTCTTGTTAAGTCGTACTCAGGTGGCACAAAGCGCAAGCTAAGTTTGGGTATAGCGATGTTAGGTGAAGTTGATTTGCTGTTGCTAGACGAGCCCACAAGTGGTGTGGACCCAGAAAGCAGACAGATATTGTGGCGCATGATTGAAGAGGCAAAAAACTGTCAAACTTCAGGAAAAGCCATTGTGCTGACGTCGCACTCCATGGAGGAGTGCGAGGTGCTTGCCGATCGCGTGGGCATCATTCACAAGGGCAAAATGCTGTGTCTAGGCACCCCTGCAGAATTGCGTTCAACATATGGCCACGGCTACCAAATTGAATGTGTCTTTGTTGCCGCTGCTGTTTCCCGGGACCCATCTTTGCCTCGTCGCTTCATTTCTGCTCTCCAAAAGACTCTACCCACTCTCCGCGTTCTCCACCGTATGGCGTACAAAGTCACAGCTTCCGTTGCTAAGGGCGCTGTGTCCCTTGCGACAATCTTTTGCGAAGTTGAAGCGGCCAAGGTGGGTTTCAACTTTAGTCCCGGGCATTATTGTGCAACTCGCATAATAGAGGATAGCATTGAAGTAGCTTGGGTTGGGAATTCAAGCTTTGCGATGCAACAAGCGTGAACCTTGTAGCCCTGCCTATAGCACTGCGTGCTCAGCTTCAAGCACACAGGAGGGATCGAGTTTCTGTGCTGTTGCGGCTTCAGGCTCCCTTTGCTGTGGAGGCATACGTGGTTTCGGAGACAACTCTAGAAGAAGTGTTTGTTGAAGTGAGTCTGCGTGCAGATAGGAAAGCGGTGCAATTCTAAATGCCTGAGGCAACCCCAAGGGCGAGCCCTTTAGCCACAGTCCTACCTTCTTATTCAGGGCGTTCAACGCCATGCAATATATCGACAACAAACGGAGAACCTAAACCGTGTTAGACTAAATACACTCTAAAGTTCATGCTCCTTGCATAAGGATCCCGATATTTGCAGGCAACTAGACGGCCCACTCAAATGGGCGCCAAAGCACAAAAGTGGAGCAGTCAGTCCTCTGTCGAGTTAATTGGCTCTTTTTGTTCATTTTGCTAACCGTGGAACCACGGTTTCCTTCGCTCGTCGTGAACCATTCTGAAGTTGCGGTCCGGAAATGCGGATTTTTGGCCACTTTCGGCGTTGCTTCAGTCGTGCCTGAAACACCCTTTGAGGCATTACTGTTTCAACGCCACATTATCTTCTCGATTAAAGGCATATGCCAGCTCTCTCTACATTAACAGCGTGCTCAGAAACTGCGGCAGAAACTGCGGCTACCGCTGGCATCGCTGCTTGTTTGCACTTAAGCCTAGCATTTCGTAGCGGGGCCCCTTGGAACAGTACTCTTTAATAATTCGAGAGATTCTGAGTCAGACACGATCCTGTAGAAAACCGGAACGTGGGGAAGCGACAGGGAAAATATTACCGCAGTATGCAGTATGCAACGCAACTCATGCTGGGCCCTTGGCAATACATGGGGAGCGAACGATTCTCTCCAACACACAAGAGTCATTATTTTATCCGTTTGACATGACAATTCAAGCAAAGGATCCTGAAATGTCTTACAAAAGTAGGTGTGGTAGTAGACTCGACAGGTACTCGAATGCTCCTGTCGCGTGCATGGATGGCTTGGTCCATTGGGACTGCACCTGCAACTAGGGTGCCTCAGCTTGTTCTTTGATTCTGTTGTTTCTTTTTCACTTGTCTTCTGCTTTTATTTTTATTATATTGGGTTGAGTAGTAGGTTTTTTCGCTTCCAACGGATACAAGATGTCAGGCCCTCCTTTCGGCCTGTCGTCTCAGCGGGTAAGCAGCAGCAGGCTCAACCTCGATCTGCAGTCAATACGCACTTTTTGTCCTTTTGTCTGAAATAAGCTTTGAGATAAATGCCATGAAATTGTATTTATTGCATTAAAAAGTTGTCTGGGCCGGAACTTCAAATCCCAAGCCTGTTGCCCCTCTGCTGCCTCAGCCGAGGAGTACCACAGTAGAAACAAGGATTGTGCAACATGTAACAGTGACAATAGTGATCCCAATTGCCTCAAGTAATATTGAAGTGATGTTGCTCCTGTCTCTCGTATTTTACTTTTGGGTCAAAATATTATTCCCGGGGACATTAAAACCATTGACCCCTTTTGACGGGGCCACGTTCCATACTTCTGCTGAAATAGCGCTCAATCTGTGAATGCGAATGTTGTAATTTAGCCAGTACACTGCGTTAATTGTTTGCTAAGCTCCATGCATGCACCCACGAGCACACTCATTGTACATACGTAAGCAGGTACCTGGGCCTCCCGCTAATGCGTAAAGGAATTCCTTTTCGTCTGCTTACAGCAACAAAGGGTCCTCTTTCTCCTTACAAGCAGAAATACACGTTTAGACGCAAAAGAGCACTTTCCCGTAAATGAGTGCTTAGAATTTAGATTGGGCGCTCCTCTTTCCACCTGTGGTTCTGACTGGCTTTCTTTTTTATGGTTGTAGTATTGGGCTGCGTGCTTTTCGCAGCGGCAGGAACTGCGAGTTGCGTTTCACGCTTTTGACAAAAACAAAACTGGAAAGTTGGACGTAGGGGAGATGAAGTATCTTTTGAAGTCCATTGGTGTCTGCCTCTCCAGAAGAGAACAAAAGGCGCTCGAGGCCGGTAAGGAACAAATATTCATGAATTTCGGCGTTTTCCCTTCATTGCCCTACACTTCAAAGGGGCGATAACTTTTAGTATAAGCTGCAGACTACACACTTAGAGGCGGTTTCCTTTATGATGCTGTTCATCGTCGCTGTACGCCTTGGCGAGTTTGCGATTAAGGGCTTCAGTTTCCGAGGGTATGCTCCAGCTTAGATCCTTTGTGCGTTCTTCTTCGGTTGTTTGCTGTTTTGCTTTGCAGAGTTTGCTGATAGAGGGGAATTTGATTACGAAGACCTACTGACAATTGGTCAGGTGGTTTATAATGACGTGGCAATCGAAAGGGCCCTCGTTCTGGCGCTTCGAAAGTTAACCCCTCCTGGGGCGAAGACTGTCTCCAGAGAAGTCTTAAGAGACATGCTGCTTAACTTGGGTTAGATTTTTCTTCATCGTCTGTCTCTCTTCCTTTTTCAACTTATTTGCTTGCTTTTTTGTACAGCAGCAAAACACTAACGGATTCAAATATAAACCCCCCGGGGTTTTCCTGGCTTTTCCGTTTGGCTCTGCCCTGACTGGTTACTTGTTATTTTTTTGCTTGTAGTGCATTCCACCTGTATTTTGTTATAGGCGTCTTATTGACAGTCTATTCGTCACTCGTTACGTCTTCTTTGTTCCTTTTTTTAGGCATGGGAGTCAAGCTCACGGAAGAACAGGTGGATATGTTCTTGGATATATGCTGCACGGAAGATGGAAAGAGGAGCGACCAAATTAAGATCTCAACATTCATTTACAGGCAAGTGCTCTTTTACCCGTAGGTATATTTCTGCTTGAAAGTAGAGGGAAATATCTCTGATTAAGTGAACGAACAGGAATATACTCAAACGTTAGGAGGCCCAGGTACCTGCTTGTGCACTTACAAGCAGTGTATGACTAAATTAGAACATGTGCATGCATGTGTTGAGCGTTATTTGCTGTTCGCAGGGTTCTTCGTGACTGATACATTACAACCGAAAGGAGGAGTTGCAAGGGTTTGAGGACAAGCGCCTAATTCCTTAAAGCCATCACAACGATCACCTCAAGCCGTTACTTCATTTCTTCCCGGATTATTTTTTTGTAGGAGGTTCGACCTCTGTACTTGCTGGGGCACTTGTTGTGCTGAGTCTTCGCTTACGTCATGTTGCACACAGAAGAAAACTGCAGTAATCAATGCTCCAACACAGATGGAATATGCAATGGTGTTTTAAACTTCTGTAACTGTGGGGCTGCCTTGTCTCCCATTGGTGTACACGGGTAGGATTCTTATGAACGTATTTGCCTCGCTTTTTCTTTAGAAGCAAAACAGGTACTTTCCTGGACTTAGTAAAGGCCCAGGACGTCTGTACGAGGCTTAATTTCCAATTCAAATTCGTTGGAGTAGCTTTTTCAAGCCGCCACAGCTCTCCGCAATCGCTTGGGACAGCTGCTTCGTGGGAAGAGCCAGCTCTGAGGGGGAACTGCAAATTACTGCGATAGCACTACTGGTTGCCCTGTAGAAGGATTTCCAGAAGCATTGACGGGTATGCAGGAAAGCACTAACGGCCATGCCTTCAGCCCGCAAGTGTTTGCTTACAAAAGTACGAAAAGAGCACAAAGGAATGTAGGAGTCAGAACAGAAACAACATAAAACAAGCAGACCTTGACAGCGTCACATAGAGAAGTCTATGGACTGGGCGCTGTAGTACAATGACACCTTCATCTCCTGAAACATCAAACATACGACAAAATACACAGAGAACGCGATAAAATGCTTGCTTGCGCGCATGCATGTATTCATCCTCGTGCACGCAGAGGAGAGGTCCACAGACTGCAGCTTGAGCGTGGTGCAACATCGTGCAATATACAGCTGCTCAGAGTTACTCTCTGGCTACGTCGATTTTGGCTCTGTGCAGTGCTGTCTCAAAAACACTACCTGAAGCGGCAGCTGCATGATCAGCAGCAGAAGAAGCAGCCCCCCCCAGCAGAAGAACCATAGGCAACAGCAAAGATATTGGGACGTACCGACGCAGAGGCGCTGGCGGCGAGGGACGCGAGACTGCACTGCAGCGCAGATGCCCCCCAAGAGGATCCGTCCGGATGCAGAGCCAATCCTGTTCCTGTTGCACCTGCTGAAACTGCTGCACCTTGGCATGCCAAAGTGCAGCTGCTGCAGTTTTTCCAGCCCCCTCTCGTGCTGCTGGCATCCGTATGAAGAGCCGCAGCTGCTGCTGCAGCACTGTAGTTTGTCGGAGGGGGGCTGATGTTTGCACGTGCTGCAGCGCTGCTGGTCGTTGAACTATCTGGCTCGTCATTCTGTTCTCCATCTCTTTTGCGGCCGTTGCCCTTTGCCTGTTTGTAAGTCAGGTGGTCTGCGTCCGTTTCCCGTAGATCCCATGAGACCCTGACAGAGTCGACAAGCAAAGAAGCCTTGTCTAGACTTGAAATTTGTTCTTCGCACCTGCTGGCTCTATGCCTGGACCTCCTTTGTGTCCTCTGCGTTCTCGTCAGCCTCTTGCTGCTGCTGCTGCTGCTGCTGCTGCGCTGCTGTCTGTCCCTCTCGCGGGCAAGCGAGCTGTGTTCAAGCCGCATGGGCCTAACCCTGCCGCTGCTTCTTAATTTGTCCATAGACCCCGGCAGCGGAAAACCGTGAAATGCCTTTTCCTCTTCAATGCTGCTGCTCTTCATCAGTTCCTCTGCTTCACTATGGAAATCGTGAGTCTGGTGATACATCCCACGTCCCAATAGCAGTGGCAGCTGCTGCTGCAGCGGCAGCTGCGCCTGGTCCTTGCCTTCCATAGCGACTTTGGGCTTGTGTGTTCTTTTGGATGGCTTCCACTTTGTATATTTTTCCCTTAGAAGAAGCGCCAAAGGAATGCCTCTGAGTGCCCCGGAATGCATACGCAACTCGCTGTTGTTGTAACCGGTGGTTTCGCTGCTGTTGCTGTTGCTGCTGTTGGGAGACAGGGATGTTGTGGAGGGTGTGCCCACCGCTTGTCCTTGAAACAGGTGGCTCATTGGTCCTTTAGCTGCGGGAGCAGCAGGTCCACTTGCTTCTGCTTCGCCTACAGAGCGCCATAGCCGTCCGTAGCCTGTACGCTTGGGGTGTATACCAAACTCAGCTAATTTTTCACCATCATCACTGCGCCTAGGCGGCAGAAGCCACTGATTTGAAACCATTTCCTCGTTTAGTGCGGTTTTTCCCTCTGCCTGCCACAACGGCATGGCACCTGCATGCAGATCTGCTGCTGCCGCTGCTTGCGGGGTTAACGTTGAAGTTTCAGTTGCTGGTCTTCTACGCGTGAGCAGCGACTTTGAAGCACCACGGCGCGAGAAGAGTGTATGGTCTCTGTTGGCCCTACGTGGATCGATTGACTCCGCAGCAGCAGCAACAGCTGCCGCAGCAGTAAATGCTTCAGCAGCAGCAACAGCTGCAGAGGGGCAAGCACCGGCAGTGGGAAAAGCAGACACATCCGGGTCACTAAGGCTGGTGTTGGAAGGACTCTTAACGTCCAGGCCCCCTGAGGAGCGCCCGAATCCTTCCAGGGAGTCTAAAGACACCTGAACGGCACAGTCTTTGGTGGGCCTTTTGGTGCCACTGCTGGTGCTGCCGCTGCTGCTGTTGCAACTCCTGTTGCTGCTCGTGCTGCTTCCGCCGGCCTCGCAACATGCAGTGCCGATTTTTGTGTCTGCATCACTAAAAGTGCCTGCCCCTGCAACTGCAGGTGTTGTTGCTGTCGTTGGTCTTGATGGCTGATGCAACGAACCCTCCTCATCATGCGTGATTTTCTCCCTTTGCGTGGGCTCAGGTGTACAGACACCCGAACAGCATTCACTGCCTGAGGATGAATCTCTCCTAAGGCACCAGCGCATTTGTAGCGATGCCCACTGCTGTAGTGAGAACTCCTCGTTGTTGTTGTTTCCACTAGGGCTGCTGCTGCCAATGTTTGAGGCTTCCCCCATTTCTACGACGTAGGACCGTCCACTTCTTGATTGGTCACCAGAGTTGCTGCTTCTGCTGCCGTTTCTGCTGCTGCTGCTGCTTTCATCCCAAAGCCGTCGTCTCGCGGGGGTATATCTTTGTCGTGTCCACCTAAGAAAGTTGTATGGCTGCTGCAGAAGCTGCTGCTCCTCCTCCGCCTGAGTTTCTTTGTCGCTGTTAGTGGCACTTTTGCTGGCTCTAATTCGCTCCAGCAGCCCTGCTGCCGCTGTTGCTGCAGCAGCTGCAGCAGCAGCTGCGGTGGGCGCCTGCTGCTGCAGCTGAGCACTTACAGCCGCAGCAGCAGCAAAACGTTTCTCCAAAGCCTGTAGCTGTTGCGTCTGATGGGCCTTTTGTCTCTGTATTGAGTTGAGTTTATCTTGCAACTTCTCCCGCCTCTGCTGTCGCTGGCGCTGTAGTTGTTGCTGTAGCTGTTGCTGGAGCAGCAACTGCTGCTCCTGCTGGGGAGGGCTGCACAGGAGCTCCTGAAGGCCCACAATAAACCCGGGAGTTTTTCTTGCTTGTAAGGGCTCAGCAACTGGCGTGTACGTTGTCTGGTTAATTTCGCGGGGCGTCTTGAGGTTGTTCAATTGTACAGATGAACGTGGAGCTGAAAGTTTTCTACTTCTCCCTCCAAGGGAAATGCGTATTCTAGAAAGTCGCGGAAGGCGCTTCGTAGTGCGCCGATGCTGTTGCTTTTGCTGCTGCTGCTGTTTCTGCTGTTGCTGCTGTTCCTCCGGCTGTTGTTGTTCCTGCCGTTTCTGTTGCTGTCGGTGCCGCTGCGTCTGCTGCTGCTGCCCCGCGCGCTCGGTATTTGCAAAAAACAGAGGCGGACAGTAAACGTATCTGCTCCATTGTGTAAGTTTTGGGGGAGGCCCCAGGGGTTCTGCACTTGTTTCTAGAGTCATTGTAACGCTCTAATGCATTTTCCGTTGGCCAGCGGATACTCAAATATGTTATTTCTACAAGGTAGACAGGGCCCACCGGTAGGTACAAAAACAAAGAGGTTATCGCTTAGAATAATGGCCTGTTGTGGGTAGCTGCCGAGTTGTTGATTTCTTCTCAAAGCGGCAATATTACGTACAGGGTTCCCGTAGATGACGACGGGAAGGTCGTCGAAGTAACAACTCTAAAATCTCTTGTAGTTCAGATAACAAAAAATCAAATTTCTGACCGCTTTGTCGACGTTTGACACGTTATATATAGGAGAAAAGTAAGGGAAGAACAACCAAGGATTGGGGTGGTGATACGGGTGGGGTTGCAAAGACACAAAGGGAGATTAGAGGAAACTGAGGGAAAATAGGGATCAAAGAAGCGGATGAAATAAATAATTAACGCAATTTCTGGTTTCATTTTGACCTAGCCAAAATATAATCCACGGTACTTGAAACAAAAATTATCCCGCTATCACTTCAGCATCTCACTGCGTAAAGCGGAAATACTTGCGACAGTTCGGTTGCGTCCCTTTGCACTTGCTTAATATAGAGCATTATATTATTATTATAGTCAAACTGTTTATTAATACCCCAAGTAATCGATGCTTCACCATTTTCAGCTGGGATTTTGTCCCTCCCTTCTTGCTTGTCAAACCTCTTGTTCCCCTCACGCGCATGCAGTATGTTTAAGCTTGCGGAACTAACGAACTTCTGTTTCCCCCTCAGTTATATTCCATTGGACAACAACTGACCACAGGCCATTCAATGTACTGTCCTCTGTTTAAAAGGGAAAATTTCAGTCTACTCACTAAATGGCCGCCTACAATTTTCAACGCGAAACTCAAGCAATAATAAGCTTTTACTACTATGTCGCAAGCGAGCGTCCTACGACTCTGTAATAACTTCAAGCACAAAACCACTGTTTCGTTCCATTGCAGATCTCAGCATCATTTAACCTGATTTCGTGTTTAGACGGATGATGAGGTGCTTCTAGACACCATAAGCCCGAGTTTCCCGTCAGTGCGTAGCGGAGCTGACTAATTCCAATCTGTACTCAAAGGAAAAAAGCTTGAGGAAGCGTTTGAAGCAAGGTATGCAAACGGCGTGTGGCCCAAGCTCCGAGGCACCAAGCTTACTGCTAGCTAGCTAAATGCTAACCCGTTGCGCAGCCTGCTAGTTAGCTAATCCGTACTAATGGAAAGAGCGGAGAGGAAGCAGCACCACTGCGAAGGCTTCTGCAGGAACTACTCCCTGCTATGCAGACAGTCAAATGCCTTAATTATGTGTTGCATTTAGTCAGCGTTCTTCCAGTTTGAAAACGTTGCTCACCACAATGGCTTTGCGTTAACATCCACTTGGTCGTTGCTGCGTATCTGTTCCCCTCCTGCCCCCGGTATTGCCGTGGGATCTGTTGCACGCGCGCTAATACTGCTCGGCTCATTTGCAGCTGGGGACGCTACCGCTTGGGCACGTGCTGCTTTTGGCTCTGCTGCTGGGGCCCCTCTGTTCTGCTCTGCAGAAGTTGCCACTGTTGGGACTGACGGCTGTTCTCCTCCACAGTGCTCTATACAACCATCTTGAGCTTTCTCAGGAAGCACCCCTGCCACACTTTTCCCTGCTGTTCGTTCCTGGTCGGAACAGCAAGCAGGTACTGCGCAAGATGGGCCCCCAGCATGATGGCCCCCCACAGAAGGGCGTCAGGTTATCTGCTGCTGTACAGCAGCACAAGGCTGAGGGCAAACCGTCGGCGTTTGCATGAAGACACCCACTGGGTTGCCACTTCCAGGAGGAACTAACCAGCAGCTGGGGACCCCTGCTTGCCCACTCCAACTTTGGCCTACTGGACCTTAAGTGTTCTCGTTAGCGGAGGGAGACGGCGAGGAAGAAGCATGCGTCCCCCATAACATAGGATACCCTTGCTGTCCGCAAGAAGGCACCCCGCATGGTGCAAGTACCCCTGTCGCCCCAATGTGTGCGTAGGTTGCCCCAGCCTGTTGGGCCCCCCCCATGAAATAGACAGGATAAGACGGGGTTGCTGCAAAGAGAGGGAAATGAGGAGATGCACACGCAAGGAGTTTGGCGCCTCCTTGTTCAAAAGTCGGCGTCTGCCAGGGCCCTATATGCATGCTTTGGGGGTCTTGAGGTTGCGGCGGTTGCTGGGCTACAGGAGGCGCAGAGAGGTTATCTTGTATTTGGTGTGATCCCTCCTGTTTTTCTCCAGCGTTTGCTTGTGCTGTTCCTGTTGCGTTTGCCGCTGGTTCTACTGCCGTAAGTGTCACTGAGTCGCCTTGTCCAGTGCATTTGTGTATTTCTATCGGTACACAGGCATTAGCTTGTAAGAATCTGCAGCTGCCTTCTCTCATGATTTTAATGGGCCTCTTTCTCAAGAACTCCGGCATACCTGCCCTGAGGAGGGAGGAAACTGTGGGCAGCTGGTAGTGTTTGCAATATGTGTTGCCCATCTTGTACCGGCGGGGTCGTTTGTACAGACTGCGGTAGGACGGGCCGGAAATCCCAAGGCGGCTGCCCCCCATGATAGAAGTATAGCGAGGAGACACCAGAGGAGGTGGTGGATGAAATCGTTGCTCATAGGGGACTTTTGCCCAACGGGGATCCGAATACACCATCCCCCAACGGTGGTCTAAACCCTCTGCAGAAGCCATGTACACATACAGAACTTCCAGCCAATCTAATGCATACAGCAGATTAACTGTATGGATATGCACGTAGATATATAGATATGCATACATATGACACAGACAGAGACGGATATTTGCTGTTTTGCTCACGTCTCTAAAAGACGGACAACACTATTCCTGCCCTGTAGCTGACGAGCTGTACAGGAGGAAGTTTCTGGTGCATTGTTTGTGCAGCTTTTGAAACTCTGTCATGTGTGCTGCTACCGCTGTTGCTCTGTGGGAATATACTGCCTAACGAGATGCTTCTTACCTAGATCGCTTTCTTCCGATTCGTCGCTTTCTGGTGCATCTTCTGGAATGAGGTCAAAGTGCAAATTCATTGTAGTAGGAGGCTGGCCCAACTGCTGCTGCTGCATCTCCTGTTGCAGCTGTGCGAGAGTTGGAGAGTGAGGCAGATTCCCTGGATGGTGCGCCACAGTCCACCCCAAGGGGCCTCCATCAATAGGCCTGACAGTGTGCTGCTGCTGCTGCTGCGGGAGATAGCCAGGAACTCCATGCAGGCAAATGGAAGGGCATACGGCGGAGAAGCAACTCCTCCCTGGGATCGATCCCTCGGATGACACTCCGATGCATGAACAATAGCTGCAAGTCAGGGGCCCAGCTGTCACTGTGTATTGGGGAGAGGGCCCCCCTGCAGCGCCCGACATCTCGCTCGCAGCCCCCGACGATTCTGGCCCTATCCAGCCCCTCAAAAATATCTGCTGGATGAAGGGGGAATAAGGATCGGCGGAGTTGCTCCCTTGGCTTTCTCCCCATGTTTGCTGTAATGCAGACGGCGCTAGGGGGCCCTGGGAGGAGGAACCCCCTAGATTCTGAGGTTGTTGCTCATGAAGGGTCATCAGTTCTCCTGAAGGGGCCTTGTGTGGGGCGTGGCTGGCCCCTGTTTGCGCACGCAGAAGATTGCTCTTATCTCCTTGGGTATATCCATCTTCTGTGGCAACTGATCTGCTGAGTGTGCCGTTCGCTTCTGAGGAACCAGCACGAGGGGGCCCTTCTTTTGGGTGGCCTTTCGTGGAGCCTTCCTGTCCTGCTACAGCGGCACCTGTGTTTTCTCTGTCCCCTTCAGTCTCCTGCCTCTCCTCCTTTGCATCACCTGAAGACGGCCTGGATGTGGGGGAGGTCACGTCAGCGTCTGCAGACGTCCTGAGCGGCGAGGATGGGGAGGGCCCTGAGGAACCCGAGCGGGATGGTGTGTCGCTGCATGCAGCGGCCTCTTCATGGCTATCATTTAATTTTGGGCTGAGCTGTTGCTCCGAACCGTCTGACTCAGAGGCACTTTCAACTTGGGGAGCTGCTTGGGCTTCTTCAGCTTTTGCTGGTATTGTTTTTGCTGGAGCTCCTTTTGCTGGTGTTGGTTTTGCTGGTGTTGGTTTTGCTGGTGGAGCTTTTCCTGGTGGAGTTTTTCCTTGTGCAGCTTTTCTTGCTGCATCTTTTGCCTCTGCAGCAGAGGGGCCATCCGATGACAGCCCTGGCCGAGTGCCCCCAGATGCTGCTGAAGGAGGCCCGGGGGGCAGCTTAGGAGCACGCAAGCCAGGCAGCAACTTCGGGGGCCTCGGGGGCCCCCCCATTAACCCTGGGGGTCCATGGGCCTTTTTGCCTGTGTTAGAAGAAGAGGGAGGAGGGGGTACAGACATGGGGGAATTTGAAAAGATATATAAAAGTGACCTGTTTGAATTCAGCTAGACCCAAACTCTCCGCTGCCTTTTCTCTGAATATGGTATCACCTTATGGTGGCACCTGCTGTCATGCCATGGATCAGCACACGAGAAATCTGTGAAGGAATTCACATCTAGCTTTTCAGTATGATCAGGAAGGAGGAAGGGGATGAGGTGCAGCGTGCAGCGGGGCTTCTTTGACTTCCGTTTGTTTAGTTTACTTGGTTATGTATGCACGAGTCTCGTTGTTGGTGGTGTTTTGTTCTATGGTTCTCTCCCCCTGTTCACCACAGAGAATGGATGATGCCGGGATTTCTGCTAGATGACGAAAGTGCAGTAGCTAGAAGATGCATAGAAAGAGCATAGGTCGCTCAGAGATTCAAGCCCATGGGGAAGAGGCGACGGTCTGCTGGTTCTGCTGGTCTTCCACCCCGTGAGCACCGTTCATACCTCATGCCAAAGGGGGATATCATCTAAAAGAAGAATTAAACGATAAAAACAATGAAATGGTGAGCCAGTCGTCTTGTCTGCTGCTTCAGCCTTGGTGGCGCCCAGAGTCGGTGGCGTGCTGCAGACGGGATGTAGCAGATCCATCAATTTACACGTTGGGATTGTTTTGTGTAATTGATTTACTGAAAATATTAAAATTTAAACTTCAATTAGAAGCTCATTTAGAAAAAGAAGAAAAATACAGGTGAGGTAATCCGCCCGATGCAGAAGGCTCGAGACTGAGTTGCAGCTCGCGGCTCAGAGTGTGGGAACCCAAAACGGAGGAGATTCGCATGCTCTGCTCGGTTATAAAGGGGTCATTTGACGCCTAAAGCCAAACCCGTAAGCCCGGTAATACTCGTATTTCATTGATTCAGCCTGTAATACGCGGTGATGATAGCATGTGAGGACAGGCGGTGGCCGCTGCCTCACTGCTGGCGTCGGCACAACGGGCAGAGCGGACTCAAGGTGCCAACTTGACTGGCGGAATAAAACGGCGTAAAATAAAATAACAATTTGAAATACCATTCTGAAACTTCTCAGCAGTTGCAAGAAAAGCTCACGTTGCACTTCTTCTACGCGCAGGCAGACAGGCGGACCCAACTGGTACACACTCGTGATCTGCAACGAGGAGCACACCTTGCATGTAAAAGCAAGGTAACACAATATAAACTACTATATGCAAAAGAAACTCTGGAAAAGACAGAGCAAATATATTAACCGAACAAAGAAGATGTAGGTGTAAACATCGTGGAAGATGTTTACAAAACAAATGGGAACAAGACAACAGTAGCGCTTAATGAGCACACAGACAAATAAAAGAAAGGCAGACTGAAAATAAGCAAGAGAAAACAAATTACGGATAACAAGCCGGGCACAGGAAAGGAACGCTAATGGGAAGAACAGTCAGACGGTGAGCAAACAAACATACACCGGCAAGCAAGGCGCCCGGAGAAAACACGAGGACTGATGCGACAACAAATACAATAAACCAAACATGAACAAACGAATATAAATAAGATGAAAGAACAAATATAATGGCAGCATAGCAACAAATGCTCGTGGACTAAGTTTTACTGTGGGGGGGAACCAGACGCAGAAGAGAATGAATACACGAGTATGTGTCGGCCGCTCTCAGTAGTAGAAGAGGTTAGCCACTCCGTCCCTCAGTCCCAAATATATGCTGTTCTTTTACATCTAATTGCAAACACACTCACTACCGCCTTGGCTTCTATCCCCGCAATCAAGAACAAATTATGCCGCACAAAACTTCCAAGATGTATCGCCCTACTGGCGAACAAATGAACATTTTGAATTTCGAAGTATTGCAACTTCTTGCACCCTCTTCCTCTCAGGCCCGCCCATGCTTCCTCCTCCTCTTTGAGCATTAGATTCTATACAGGGGAATAGCAAAAAAAATGAAAATCTATAAACAGCTTAAATATATTGTGTTTGTGTAAATGTAAACACAATGTTTATGTGCCTAAGATTCTCTTTTCATAAATATATGCATGTCTACAAACTCGACGGACAACACGGCCGGTTAATTGCCGCACCATACAGGTTTCGTCAGTTGTTGGTCGTTGTTTTTGCCTCTTTTACTCAGTCAGTCCTAACTATAAAAGGTGATAGTTACGCATTGAAATGCATAAATGTATAGTAAATAGGTACGTATACATTATATAGCATGGCAGTCTGCTTGAATGGGTAAGTATAGCACACTGTGAACTAGCTCATTCTGGTGCAGCCTATTTTGTTCCTTTGGTGTATACAACGAACAACTGATCATTTAGGTGGCTCAAGAGGAACACACGTAAGAAAAAGGTAAACCAGAAGAGAACGAGAACTCTGCCACCTTGATTTTAAGAAAAGTTTCTGTTGTTTGTTTCTGTGGTCAATCTTGCGACACTTTAGTGGGCTCTGCTTCTACGGCTGCAGTTGCAGCTGCAGCATCGCCCCCCTTTTTCTCAGATCTTCGTTCATAACCGCCTGCTGCATCCAATGTAATTCCTTCTCCCTTTTTCATTTGAAGACCGTCAGCCGCCAGCCACTTCTGAACTTCTTTCTCATCAAATGCTGCATCACCGCCTCTGCGGGAAAGCTGCATGTAAGCCCCACCTGAAAACGGAAAGCCCCAAGAAAAACCGTCATTTCCTCTTAAATTCCTATTATATATATGTAAATAATGCATGCGCTGTAATAAACTACATGCATGCATTGGTATAACGTACCAAATTTACGAACTGAAACTACCGACCCAATGCATGTACTGAAATAATGAACCTAATGCATTAACTGAATCAATGAACAAAATTCATGCACTGAATTAATAAATCGCATACGCCCTCAATAAAAATAAAAAATAAAAACATTTACCTGCTCCGGTGGCGATTTCGCCGAATCTCTTTGGTGTAATGTTCGCTCCTGGCTTGTAAGGAGGCGACGGCGGCGTCACCGCAGCAAGACCGAAGACGGAGACATTGAATGGTTCTTCTTCCTTAGCAGGCAGTACCTTATTCTCAATCTGAATTCAAACCCATTAGCAGAGAAGCTTGGATTGGCTAGCTAGACAGATGTTCCGACTAGCCAGCTAGCTGGGCACGTGCATAAGGTGGATTGACTGTATGCCTATATACGTAGCTAGCTAGCTAGCCAGGTGTGCTAGTTAGAAAGCCATATCTTCAATGTTTACATATTATAATGCTCACAGGTCCTGTATGCAGTAAGAAAAGTTTGGCGGGTGGCGCAGGAGCAGCAAAGTGGTGTAAGGTGAATGACGCCTCCATCTCATCTGCTGCTTTGACGAATTTTATCCAACCCTGATAATATGCCTGTCTCTGCACTTTGCTCCAAACCTCCCACTTGTACTGCAGAGACGAAAAAAGAGAAAAAAAGAAGAAAATGACGCATCACTACTTGCCGTTGTATATACATACCGAGGGAGGATAGAAATAGGGGGAGAGCTGTTGGATCTACACACAGGCAAAGAGCTAGGAGGTAAGGATTCCTATACAGCTCAGTGCAACAAAAACAGAAAAAAGAGCACATATCTCAGTCATCACCGGCAAGCAAGAAGACAACTGCAGCAGCAGCAGCATCAGCAGCACCAGCAGCATCAGCAGCACCAGCAGCATCGGCAGCAGTCTGTACCTTCATCTCCTGCAGGAAGTAGGTAATACCTCCATTTTGTGTAAGTTTGCTCTTAGAAACAGTTTTATGTTTAGCAGGAAAAAAGGAGGCAAGAAGAATTAAATTCTTTGCATGCATATCTTCTTCCGTTATTTGTGTAGTAGTCCATTGCATCATTAAGGATCCTTCATTGAGTTCGCATGCATAAAACAAATACGCCCTAGGCATATTGCTACTAGCTGCTTCCTGCTTTGCTGCTTCTGCTGCAGCAAGAACTTGTGCATCTGCATCGCTCAAGGGAACAACAGGAGGAGCTGCTGGCTGCTCTTCTGTTGCATGCGTTTGTGCGGGTGTTGTTGTTGTTTGCTGCTCTTCTATTTCATTTTGTTTTGGGGCCTCTTCTGCCTCAGCAGCAGGCTCTGCCCCTGGCTCTACCCCTGTAAGGACAGCAGCCTCTGCGGAAGCTTTCGTCGCACAAGCAGCAGCAACTTCTGCTGCTTCTTCTGCTTTCTGGCTATGTTCTGCTGCTGCTACTGCTGCTGCTTCTGCCTTCTCCGCGGTAGAAAGGGGGGGTTCAACAGCGGCGGCGGCGCGCTGCGATTTCCCGCAAGCGGCCCCCATCCTCAGGCAGCAAGGGGGGATGAGACAGTAAAGGTGGTTTGGGTTTCGCGTAATAAAGAGTTAAAAGTCAGAAAAAAGAAGAAACGCAAACGCATGCATCCTCTTGCAAAACGTGCACAGGCGCACACTGCCTAGACCAGTATGAACAGCTGCATGAGCCTACGCGGGAGAACCCACCCTCACAGTACAGCCAAAGAAGAGGAAAAAGAAGAAAAAACGGGCTACCAAATTAATTGTAGCGATTTAATGCACGAAAAGTGCAGAAAAAACAAAGAAGGCGATACTCCATCTGTACTGGCTGGGGCAGCAGGTGGAGGACCACTCGGTGTTATTGTTGACCAGCAGGGTGTACAGCACACAAAAGCAGGGAGTATTTCGTTAATTATTCAATAAAAATATATTTAATAGTTAAAATGAATACATATTTATTCATATTTAGCAATAAAGTCATAGCTTTTATTGCCGTGTGCAGAAGCGCAATATCTGCAAATCGGTCAACACCACCATAGAGAGGGAAAGCTGATCTTCTTTTCTTCTTTTCCAATTTGCACACCTCGCAGCAAATTGCACGAAATGGTAATTTATTTATTTTTATTGTTATTTACCAACTTATTCGCCAGTTTACACTGAACACACCGACCTCTCCCTCTCTGCTGTACTACAATCAACACACTCTGTACGCATCAAAGGGAAATCCCCTATTTCTTACTAACGAAGGAAAAGAAAGAAAATAAATTTAATATAATTATAACAACAATAAATTAAATGCAACATTTACATCTAAATAAAGCATAAAATGGATAAAAGTAAGAAAATATTCAATTATTATGCAAATACCTATAGAGGTATCTTGCTGCTTTTAGAGGGGAAATAACACATTAAATCATTATATATAAGTTATATATTGTATTTATATGCACATACACTGCCTAATAAGTAATAAAAAACATTTAGTTCCTTTTATTTGTTGCTAAATACACTTATAAATACAAATAAAACAAATAAAAGGAATTAAATCTTATTTATTACTTATTAGGCAGTTCGTGCATATAAATACATCATATAAATTATATAAGAAAGAAGATCGAGGTATATAGGTGTGCGTGCCTCTTGTGTATATAAATATTTACATTTATTAATTAATAATATTAATAACTAAATAATTTAATTGTTAATAAAATATTTAATAAGTATTGTTAATAAATAAATATACTATTTATTTGTTACGAATGCACTGACGACTAAGACTACCTCAATAAATAAGTAAATAAATAAATAAATAAATAAATAAATAAAATAAATAAAATAAATAAATAAATATTGTAATATACAATAATGTATACAGAAAGACAATAAAAAAAGACAATTCTTTATTGTTAACAATAGAGGAGATAAATAAACCCTCTGTATGCAATAAGAAATAAAAATTATTTATTTAATTAATTAAATAAATAATTAATATTTAATTAATTAAATAAATTAAATTAAATCAACAAAGAAAAAGGACAAAGAAAAAGACATAAAAGGACCTTCGTTGCATGCAACATATTCATCTCTCTCTTACAAACAAGTATATATATACAAAATAAATATATTATATATATTATATATAATATATAATAAATATATAATATATATAATATAAATAATATATATATGTATATAAATAATAAATATATTTATATATATAAATAGTTAAGAGTCCTCAGGTATAACTTTGTCAATAATCCCCATCTCTTTTGCTTCTTCTGCTGTCAAGACACGACACTCCTTTTGCCAACCAGCAACCTGAGCAGCAGCAGCAGCAGCAGCAGCAGCAGCAACAGCAGCAACAGCAGCAACAGCAGCCATACAATCCAACAATGGTCTAGGGTTTAGGGTTTAGAGGAAGTAGACCCATCGTTGTGTTCCTCTTAGCGACCCCAAGGGTTTAGGGTTTAGGGTTTAGGGTTTAGGGTTTATAAGAATTACATCATTTATAGTTTTATTTGTATGTTTAGCGAGCAAAGAAAGAAAAATATTTTCTTGATCTTTTATTGACTTTGTTTGTCTTAATAATTCATCTGCTGATCCTTGTGCTGTACCTACACAAACAAATACAAAAAAAAAGAAAAAAAAAAAAAAAAAAAAAAAAAAAAAAAT